GAAGAAATTTCACGTTTGATTCTTGGGCTGATGACACCACCCATGCAGATTTATAGATTTTATAAAATGGTCCAGTTCATGTATGAGAGGCATCATTCATTCCCTGAATTGTGCAGTAGGAAGTGTTCAGCCCTTCTCTATCATCCTTTCCCAGCTGGAGAGTTTGGGTGTGGTGGAAGGTTCCAGCAGGCCTTGAGAAGTCTCTTGGCCTTCTGAGCTGGTCCTTCTCATGGTACCACAGCTCAGCTTCCTGGCAGAAGTGCTTAGTTTCTTATTAAGGTTAAATCTGAACTGGGGTAAACAACCTTTATGTTGCTGTAAGCAATTTTTGATACCAAAGCGTGATATTGAAGATTTTTATCCTTTTTATTTGACTTTGACTTGCTTTCATTGACTTCAACGTGGAAGAAAACAGCTGTGAATGATGTAAAATTTTAAGTCTTGAGACTTAGTAAATAATTTATATTTTCACTTTGTTGATTTCTGTGGGGGAAAAAGCCCATTGCCTGCTTACACCTGATTGCACTTGTCTGTTCAAAATGGTTGTTTTAACTCGAGTTCTGGTCATTTTGTGATTTAATGGCACTGAAATAGATCACTCAAGAATTGATGTATTCGTTTTTATCATATTTACATCAGCCACAGTTCCCATTTAAACAGAAATTTGCTTTTCCTGCCTGGATGTTGCTTTCCTCAGCAGTGCCTGGTATTGCCCTCATGGTTCCATATCACAGTTTCCCAGTGTGTGTCTGAACATCTGCTCTTAGGAGAAGTGAAAATAAATTTCTTGGTTCTTCTTATAGCTGATAAGAACACTGAGCTTTAAGAAAACAGTTCTTCTGGGGCTTCTTAATATTCAGTTTCCCAGTATTCTACCATAGTCTAATTTAATTGCAAATGAAACTAACTGTCCCCCCTGTCTTTTCTGTATAGGAAAGATTTGCCATGTTTGACTTAGTTACTTGTGTGTCCAGGAACTCCTTTTTTTGTGTGATAAGTGTAATAGGGAAATAATAAACTTTTCTGCAGAACTGTGATGGATACTAACCTGATTTTTGAAATTTGCAGATTAAGGGCTTTTTCCTTCATAATTTTAGTAGTAGTGGAAGTGAGAAATAAGTCTGTTTAACTCTATATTGGCAACAGTTGCCACCTATGTTTTCTTCACATATTTGCTTAATGTCACCCATGTTACACGGAAATAACTTCAAAGATGATCCAGACTCAATGATCCAGACCCAGTGTGCAGGACTGAGATGATGTTGTCAGCCCCCTCCTCCTCAGTGTGCTGTGCTGAGTGCAGTGGCTCAGGTAATACAGGCTGGGGCAGAGGCAGGGGTGGGATGGTTTAGGTGCTGTATAAAATCTGCACAGTTATCTAATGTTGTTTGTGCCTACAGGAACCAGATCTGTCCTTTCAGTAGTGATGGAAATCCCTGGACTTTGGCCATTTGAATAAATAAAACTGAGCCAGGTGTGGTTCAGTGTCTTGTGTCCTGGATGTACTTGATCCATAACCACAGCACTTGGTCTGCAGGAGACACCAGGGACAGAGGAGTGATGGAGATCAGAGGGAAAAGATGAAGAGCATTCCTGGATGGATGTGGGAAGGAAAAGCTGTACAGAGGTGCTGCAGAGCCCTGCAGAGGCAGCACTGGCAGTGCTGGGCAGGGTTTTGTTGAAGTCTCAGGAAGAGCTGAGTTGTGATGAGGTGGCACCAGCTTTGTGCCAGCTGGGCTTTGTTACCCTCCTGCACCAGGCACCACAGACTCTGCTGTGTGAGGAGCTCTTGGGCCTGCAGGATCTCCAGTGTTGAATCCAATAGCTTTTGAAATCATTCCTGCTGGTGGGAGTAACTGAGCTTGTGGAAGCAGAAAGATTGCAAGAAATCCCCGAGTTCTGGGAGCTGAAAGGTGTTTGAATATCCTTGTATGGGTATAGTTCTCCCCCTCTGTTTCTGGTCTCTCTTTCTTTTCCTAGAACAATTGTAACAGAAGCATTTTATTTATGGAAGCATTTTGCAGGAGGTTCCCTAAAGTGTGAATGATATCATTGAAATCACTAGGACAAAAGGCAGGTGTTCCATGGGTTGCACCAGGACACCTATTCTGAGTTAGCAGCTCACTGGGAGTGAGAATCAGCTTGCAGTGCCTACATGGAAATAAAACTTGGTTCTGCTAACACCATGAAAATCTACTCTGAGTCCTGGAATCAATTTTGGCCTTTCACTTGGCCATCCAAATCCATTTTCTTTTTTGTTTTTTGTGGCTGCATGCAGGAATTACAGTCACATTTCCGTCTCTTCCTTCTCCCCAGCCCACTCTCTCCAATAAGGAACCATTTGTGCAACTTGAAGATGATTGTTTTTTGAGAATGTTGCCAATATAATTTAAAAATCCATTGAGTTTCACTGCAGACAGAAAGTTGTACATCCTCTTTTGTATCCAAATCCTCAGAGCCTTAGGGGGAAAAGCCTTTGAAGTGAAATGTAAAAAGAATGTTAATGTTTTATGCAGAAAGACAGAATTTGGAGGGGATGAGAAAGGGGAGAGAGACACAGGTATGATGTGCTTTTTGCAATTGCTCTGATTCCAGACGTGGCACATAAATTCTGTCTGTCCTGATCACCTTTGTATCACCCCCCCTGGTTTGTGTCTTGGGTTGTCTCCAGGTGCTGCCACAGTGTTGGTGCTGTGGAGCACTTGGATTCCTACCCAGTGTGCACATGGAGATGTGGAGGTGTAAAATCTTGCCCAGCTGTACAAACCAAAGCCTTGTGGGACAGTGAATCCTCCTGATAAATCCTGAGTTTTTCAGCACAGTCTGCCTCTTTCCTTCCATGGTGGGATAGTTCTGATAACTGCCTTGTGTCTGAATGTTTTCATGCTCAGCCAGTCCAGCTTTCATTTTACCTTGTTTGTATTTAAAGAATTTCTGATTTTTTACTTCTCTTAAATAGACTGGGAAAAATAGGCATTTCTGTAGCTTCTGTGGGAAAGGGGTTTTATTTTCTGTTCTGCTGGTTGTTGGTTCTGCTCTGCAGTGCTTCATCATCTGTCATTCCTGGAGGTGGAGGGGATGATCAACTCCCTGTCCCTGTTAATGGGAATGGGGAATGCTTTGCTTTCCTGGTAATGTTGGTGCCATATCACCAGGACAGGGTATTGATTTGCTTGACTGCTGGTGTGTGATGTGTGACAGAAAGAGAAATGGAACTTTGTGAACGTGGAGTAAATGGTGCTGCTGCTGATACAGAACTGATTGAGGGGAAAGCAATCAATCAGAGTCTCTCTGCTGGTACCAGTGCTACCTTCAATTTAATATATAGGAAACCAATAGTTGTTTCACAGTTTAAATCAAAGAGTGTCCTGTGCTTAACTCAGATTCTTACAGAAATGACTTGGAGAATTTTTGGATTTAGTGTGCTTTGCTTTGTGCCTTACCAACATGTGATCTGATAATTTAGAAATATTGAGCTGGCATTCACTAATTCTTCTTTTTTCTTGTCAAAGAGCCACTGATTATTTTTTCTAGATTGCTTATTACTATTTTAAATTGATTGGTCTTTAAATAATTTTAACTTGTAAGTAGAGTTGGTTTTAGTCTCAAATATCTGCAGAAGGAGTTTATTATAGCCACAGGTAATTGGACCTCAATATCTGAAAAACATCCACTAGAGACATGCATAGGCCCATTCTCTCTCCTGGCAGATGTTTTGCAGGTATTAGACTTATATCCAATTATCTTTGGGTACTTTAGCAGTACACAATAGCATTCATGTGTAGATGACTGTAATGTTCTTTTCTCTCCTTCTCCACCTTGTAAATGAATGGGATAATTTATCCTTTTTGGAAAGAGAGAGAAGTGTTTTAGTGAAAGCTTAAAGGACTTCCTGAAGTTCCTGGATTGATCCCTGCTCCCAAGTCCTGTCACTCAGGGTGGTCCCAGCTCAGCCTTTGCCCCTGGAAGGCCCTGAGCAGCAGGAATTCTGCACAGGAATTCTGCACAGTCATTATTTGATGTTTGAATTATTTTTATTTGCAATTTTCAATGACAAAAGTCTTTAGAAGGCTACAAACATTAATGAATATCTTATTTCCTGGTTTTGCAATAGGTTTATTTCTGGTGTCTGTCCACCAGCTCTGGAGTGTGCAGGTTGGCTCAGCTGCCAGCTGGGCTGGCAAACCCAGATTCCTGTTTCATGCCCATGTTTTGTGACTGTGTGAACGTGTTCTGGGGTGTTCTTTGGGTGGGGGGATTTTTTTGGTTGGTGGTTTCCTGTGGGTGTTTTTTTGCCAGTGTTGGGTGTTGCTGCATCTGCTCCAGTTGCTTCTTCCAAGGCCTCTTCCAATCCTCCCTGAACATGGCTGGCTTTTGTTGCATTCAGGCCATTTTAGAAAAAGGATTATGCTGGTTTTACAAATAAAAACTAAATGGATTTGAACTGGAGTTTGTCCTCTTCATTCACAGTCTGGTTCCAAACCCAGAGCACACAGAGCCAGCTGTATGTTGAATTATCACCTGTGTTACTGTCACTGTCCTCTCTCCTGTACTGACCATGGTCCACAGGGCAGGAGAGCATCTCTTTCAGGTCACCAGGAGGAAATGATTCTGCTACAGGTGCCCAGGGACAGAAATTGCAGCAAACTCCTGCTGTTTTAGCCAGCCTTGAGATCAGAAGTTACTTTAATCTGAATGTACAGTTGCTATCTAGAGATGGGATGTGTGTAGTCTTAATTTGGTTTTAAAGGTTTGTTTTATTGATATATTCATGTAATAGATCTTAAAAAGAAAAACCCAACAAATATTATAATACACTAAGATTACCTTTTGAAATTATACTTAGAATGACCTGTGTCTGTATGTTTTTTACATATTGTGTTATAAATGGTTTGATTTTTGAAATATATTTGAAGTTATGCTTTGAGTGAGTTGTCTGGACTGTTCTCTGTGGTGTCAGAAGAGCTGTGGATGTTAATTGTCTGCTCCTGTTTTTCTAGATGGCTACACCACAGATGACATAGAGTTTTACTGGCGTGGGGGTGACAATGCTGTCACGGGAGTGACCAAGATCGAGCTGCCCCAGTTCTCCATCGTGGACTACAAGCTGATCACCAAGAATGTGGTTTTCTCTACAGGTGTGTGGAGGGGAAGCCAAAAGGGGAATTGACTGGGAAGACTTTTAGAAGGGGATTAATTCACAATGTGCAGTTCAGGATCTGAGCAATAATTTTAGAAACAGGAGTGAATTAGAGCAGCAGCTGTGAGTTTTGGAAGGGGAGGGTTTTTACAGCTCTCTGGTGTCCATTCCCCTCTGCAGAGGGACATTCATCTGTCATGTTGAGGCTCAGAAGATGAGCTGTATTTTCTGTTTTCCTGTGAAATCTGGTTAAGCCACTTACACACCTCAGTGTGTCAGTGTGGCCATAAACCCAACCAGTAACAGCCCAGCCTGCAGGAAATTAGGAACCTTTTCCTCCCTGTTTCTGGATGTTCCTTTTGCCAAGCTGTGGATGTATTGGGATAATTATTTTGTCATCAGTGTAAAACCTCTAAAATCCTTGTTCCACAGGATTTTCAGTTTAGCCTATTCTAGCAAAGTGTATGAGTTTTTGAAGGCTGAAAAGATGCTGTGTGAGGAGAAGGAGAAAATCAATTTGGACCTTAAATTGTTCAAGACAGGGAAGAGTTGGGTTGGACTGTTACTATGTGATGTTCTCTACCCACTTGGGAAACCTGTAAGTGTGTTTGAAAAAATATCTTCAAAACTCAGATATGGGTAGAAATCATCTTTGAAGGGACTGTAGAAAGATGGCTCATCCCAAATTCTTCAAAACCAAGCAGAAGTGGGACTTGAATAATGATTTCTAGGCACCCATTTCAACAAGTGTTTCATCCAGTAAATTACTTCTGGTATCCAGAGACAAAAGACAGGTGTTGAATTTCTGGGAGAGAAGAGAATGAGGGTTCCCCTGAGGTGGGCACAGCACAGCCTGCCAGGGAAGAGGCATTTCTGTGCCCTGTTCTCTGACATGTGTTTGGGCTGTTGATTGTTGGACGTTGTGATACAGCAGAGATGCACCCAGAGCATCCTTGTACCCTTAGAATAAAAGATGCTTTAATCCTAGTTCTTGCTAGAAATTCTGCAGCTGATTACCCTGGATCTTTCAGCTCTGAGGGTACTCTGTGTTGCATGAAATAATAAAACCAGAATGACAGAAAAATGTTTTCAGGCTTTATGCAAGTAAATTACAGCTATGCCAAATATTCTCTTTTAGGTGCCTACCCAAGGCTGTCTCTCAGCTTTAAACTTAAGAGAAACATTGGCTACTTCATTCTGCAGACCTACATGCCTTCTATTCTCATCACTATCCTGTCCTGGGTTTCCTTCTGGATTAATTATGATGCTTCAGCTGCAAGAGTTGCTTTAGGTAGGCATGTTTAACCTCTCCTGCAGTGTGCATTAGCTGAGTGTTTTCCTGGCTTCTGGCTTAGTGGATAGTGCATGAGCTGAAAAAAAAATTCTGTTAGATATTTTATGTCTGGCTTGTTAAACTTTGTATTGTTTGAATCGGCATTTAAATCCTCACAATTTAAATAAAAATGAAAGGGATTTTGTGTCTGAATGAGCTGACTGTATAATCATTGTAACCAAAATTAGCCCGAGTGTCTCCACATTTTCTGTTCTTTTATTGCTTGTTTGTCTCCAAAGAGACTGCACCTGGTTTGCTTTTGCCCATGGCAGGCCAGAACACACATTCAGCACTGTGTTACGGGTTATAAATTGCTTTTCCTTTCAGGTATGAATTAAATAAGGTTTTACCAGGGTTCTGTAGCTCACTTGTCCTTGAGGGATGAAGCTGCACCTCAAATACTGTGTCCAGTTCTGGGCCCCTCAACATTGACTTCAGGAAGGACATTGAGGGGCTGGGGCAGGTCCAGAGGAGGGAACAGAGCTGGGCTAAAGGTTGGACTCAATGATCTTAAAGGTCTTTTCCATCCTAAATGATTCTATGATTCTATGGGGGTTTTTTTCCTTACTGTTACCTTACATTCCAAATTCAAAATTGTTCCCCTAATTAATCTCTAGAGTACTCTCTTATCACTACTCCCATGTTTACACTGAGCCCCTCATCAGAGGATCCAAGCATGTTGCAAAAATAAATATCTGTATCTATTGCCAAATAGATACAGATAAATCAGTGTAAATCAGACTGATTCCTGCCAGTACAGAACTTGTATAGCTAAAACAAGTAAACCCCCATAAAACATGCTATTGAGAATTTGACATTTTAACATTAGAGAACAGTCTGAGCTTTACCAGCCTTTCTGTGTGGCATTTTCCCTTCAGAGTTTGAGACTGTAGATCTCCTGAAAATGCCTGAGTAAAGCAAGATAACAGTGACTGTAGCCTGGTCATTTATAACTGAGACTCGTTCCAGAAGTTGCTGGAATCCTCTTGCAGAGGCCCCCAGATTTGTCAGGCACGATTTGTCCTTAGTGAAGCCGTGTTGGAATTGCTCAGCCTGGAGCAGAGAAGGTTCCAGGGAGATCTCAGAGCACCTTCCAGTGCCTCAGGGGGCTGCAAGAGAGCTGGAGAGGGACTTTTTACAAGGGCCTGGAGTGACAGGACAAGGGAGAATGGCTTTGAACTGACAGGGGGCAGAGTTAGAGCAGATCTTAGGAAGAAATTCTTCTTCCCTGTGAGGGTGGTGAGACACTGGAACACATTGCCTGGAGTTCTGGCTGCCCCATCCCTGGAAGTGTTCAAGCCAGGGTGGATGGAGTTATGAGCAACCTGATCTAGTGGAAGGCTCCCTGCCCATGGCTGGGGGTTGGGACAAGATGGTTTTTAAGGTCCCTTCCAACCCAAACCTTTCTAGGATTCTGTGAATAAGGACAGAGTTTGGAGGTGTCTTTTTTCCACCAGGGGAAAAAAAAAAAAGTAATATTTTTCAACTCTAGTGTTTGGATATGATGAACTATTATGCTGGGAAATGAAAAGTATTTCAGTCACTGGACTTGTCTCTTCTTTTTTCCAGGAATCACAACCGTGCTCACAATGACAACCATCAACACCCATCTCCGAGAGACTCTCCCCAAAATCCCCTATGTGAAAGCCATCGACATGTACCTCATGGGCTGCTTTGTGTTCGTGTTCATGGCCCTGCTGGAGTATGCCCTGGTGAACTACATCTTCTTTGGCAGAGGCCCCCAGAGGCAGAAGAAGGCGGCAGAAAAAGCCGCCAGTGCCAACAACGAGAAGCTGCGGATGGACGTCAACAAGGTGCAGGGATGGGAGGGGAGGGAGCAGCTCCCAGCAGGGCAGGGCCCCTCTGCTCCACACAGGGTAAAAGGCCCTTGCTGTAGAAAACCAGAGCAGTTGTGTGACCTTGTCCTGGCTCTGCAGAGCAGCAGGTTCAGCCCCCTCGGCACTGACCGCTGCCCTGGAGGGATGAGGGACTTGTTTCTAAAGCTTTACTGAGAGGTGGTTTCTTAGTCAGGATGGAGAGTTAAATACCTGTAATCTGTTTCCAGAGGGAAAAAATCCAAAATGATGGCTGTAGCTGATATTCTAGTAAGAGCTGTATGGAACGTTGGAACTAAAACCTAAATTTAACCTGCTTTCATAAATCTTTCAGATGAGCTGGGTAAGAAATATTTGCTGCCGAAGTGTTTAAAGCTTGACAGGTTTGCATATTTTCAACATATAATGGCCCAGGATACTATTGACTAAATGAGGAACTGCTCAGAAATAAAGCATCAACATGCTGTGTACTTAATTTTGAATCTAAAAATGGTCCCCCAGGGAGGGAGAATTGAGGCAGAAAAGACATTTGCCAAGATACACACTTTGGGAAAAGAATCCATTATGCTTAATGAAAATTGGGCACTTATCATAAAGCATTTGTAATTTGTCACTCTGACCATTTTGGATGAGTTTCACACAGTGGCAAATCTGGGCTGAATGCAAAAATGTACTCAGTGTGAAATGTAGAACCTTTCACACACATGCAAAATTGGAAAGTTAAATAAAGTTAAATTATCTTTGAGGGGGGTTTTGTTGGTTTGGGTTTTTTGTTTTGGTTTTTTGTTTTGTTGGGGGTTTTTTTGTCAAGGGAAGCTTTTTGAATTTGTGATTCAGCATGATACTCCAAGGAGAAAAAAAATCAAAGAATTAAAAAACAAAACCAAATTAGAAAAAAACCAAGGGATTATTTGTGAATTGGAAACATAAGTTTCATACAGCTCTGGTGGTGGAATTTCTCGTGTTTGTTCAGAACTTCTACACTTCTACACACATCGTGTGCCTGCAGACAGAACATTTTGTTCTGTTTGCTGCAATAACAAAAACCCATCACATGTCAATAGAACAAAACAGTTTTGTAGGTTATAGTGTGTAGCCTTCTAAGATGGAGAGTTGTGTTGCCATGGCTCAAATCTCACCCAGTCATTAGTTTATTTTTTTCTTTTTAATTTGAAAGAAACGTGTTTTAATGAGTGGAGGTAAATGGATAATGATGAGATTAATTTTGATGTTATGTTAACATAGATCATCTTTTACCTCCATAAAGTTCATCTTTTTCTTTCTATTGGTGATTTTCCAGCAATGAAAAAAAAAAAGCTGTGAGCTTTTATTTAATTTGTCAAGTTGTGTTGTTTTTTTTTATTCAATTTCCCTTTAATTTCAGTTAAACAATCAGTGCTGTAAACTACCCTGTCAGTAATTTCATAAGGCTAGATCTGCATTTAGCTGGTCTTTCCTCCAGTCTCAGTGACAAGTGAAGGTCCCTGGGTGTCAGAGTGCCACCACGCTCTCACTTGTGTATTTTTGATATTCTTATTTATCCAGTAGATCTTTCTGCTGTAACAGCCCAAGCCTGGTGGCAAATGGCTGCCCATGGAGTGGGATATGGAACCAGTGTGGGAATCCAGTGCAGTGAGCAGAGGAATTAATTCCAATTGCTGTGGTGGGAATTTGCCCACAGGATTGACACAAAGTACTCTGGGAACAACTTTATTTAGATTTTCTTTGTACTGAGCCTTTTCCTTGATCTCCTGGGCCAGCCTGGTTAACAGGGTCTGGCAGTTCTGCCCTGGGACCCAGAGCCCCTCTGACCTGATAATGGGGTTTGCAGCCCTTTGAGCAGTGACAGGGAATGAACCAGGAGGGATCAGAGGCCACGTCCTGCTGCTCTGGGAGAGGAGAGGAGCTGAGTAGTCTGAGTCATCACAGCACATTGTAACTTCATGTACTCCCTGATTTTCAAAGATTGTTGGACCTATTTGGGGTAAGGGAAAGGAAGAGAAGGAATTGGGCTTCTATCTTGTTCTGCTTCTTGGATACTGAAACCTGAGTAATAAAATAATGGAGAAATTTAAAGAACATAAAACTCCAGGAAGATTCAGACTCAATTACCAGCAGATACATTACCACAGACTTGTTAAATCATATTGGACTTGCATAATTTTCTTTCCAGGGAGTTCAGAATTAAATGGCTTGAATATCATCATTCCACCCATGGAACTACTCAAGCTGCATCCAGCAGTTTGTTCCTTTAGTCTGAACTCACCATCTTTTGCCTTTGTCAAGGCTAATTTTTCTCTCTGTAAACAATGGTGTTGTTGTTTACAGATAAATCACTGGCTTTTTCTCACTGTGGACAGCCTTCCTTTACTGGAGATACCACTCACACCATTTCCTCACCTCTCTTTTCAAGTTTATCATCTTGTGTTATGTCTTCAAACACCTTTATTGCCTTGATAGTTTCAAGTTTCTTAATCCCTTCTGTTCTGAGTGGCAGAGCACTGCAGAGTAAATAAGGGTAGGCAGACTGGGAGGGTTGTGTTTCTGCTAGTAGGCCCAGTGTGCCATAAAGGAGGGTGTGTGTACTCTGTATATTCTAAGCCATTGTTATCCCCTTTTTATTCCCTCGACTTCAGTATTTTAAGTAAGAATGTTGATGGCCATCAGCAACCTTTTAATCCTTTGTAGGCACATTTCATTCTGTCTTTTCTTTAGGCTCAGGGCACTAATCTAATACATTGTCTGTGCTTCTTCAAGGTGATTAACAGATATGTAAAATATAGGGCCAAATTCCAGCCTCTGGCTTCCCAGTGTCCTTCAGCTGACTGTCTTCCTGTGGGTGGTTGCACTTCCCAGAAGTGGCATTGTGGTTTTATGTGTAAATACCTCTGGAATGTGGTTTGAGTTGGATGCAGTTGCAGTATCCATTGAATCCATGTTTCCAGCCTGGCTCAGAGCACAGGGAGTGCTGCAAGTGCACAGGGCTGTACCTGCAGTACCTGATAACAGAAGTTACAGAAATAAAACTACCTCTAATTTTGCAATCATGCTGCTGATATTGTGAGCAGTAATAAAGCAACTTCCCTCTGGAAAAGAGGGGAAAAATGTCAGTGTGTTATGCAATGATTCATAAAACTGTTTATACAGATTTATTCAGTCTTTTTTTTTTTTAAGAAATGTGAAGTGACATTGCTAACCTCTGCATGTTGAGATAAGGCTTCTTTTCTGAACACAAACACTTTTTTTAAATATACTGAATGTATTTTTAAAACAATGAGTAATTCTTTACTCAGTGGTCTTTGTATTAGGTGAGGTTTTCAGGCAGGAGGCAGTGACAGGGCACTGCTGCTGCACAGTCACAAACACGGGGAGTTGTCAGACTAATGACATTTTCCTATCCAAAATTTGGATACCAAGTAAAGAACATGGAACTTCAACATGATAATTAGTTTAAACAGCATATTAATGGATTTGAATACAATAGAATTGTACTTGAAAAATTAATGTAGGGCTTAGGGAGCTAAGAATGTTAAACAAATACAGGTATCTTTGGAATTCATTGCCCTACTGGCTGACTGTTGTTAGATCTGGATTAGCACAGAGTTGCTGAAGGACTTGAGATGGCAAGGAAATAGCAAACAGGAGCTTAACCTGCCCTTAGCTGCACTTCACTTGGTACCTTTCTTCTCCTTCAAGTTGTCTCAGCTGCTGAATTTTTTTCCCTGCAGCTTTTTGACCAAGGAAAAGAGTCTGACCAATGTAGCTGGAGAAGTTGAATAGTTCTCCTCACATCTGCCATTTTTAGGGGACTCCCCTGCATTATCAGAGCTTTGAGGCAAGCAGGGCCATGCACTGACCTGTTTCAAAGGGATTGCAGCATTATTTCAGTGTGACTGGGCAGGCTGAGGGTGGGCAGTGTCTGCCCATTGGACAGGGCAGCAGGGAAGGGGCTCCCAGAGATCCTCCTTGCCCAGGGGCCTGTTCAGAGTCACTGCTGGAGCAGGACAGGGGCACTCTGTGTCCTGGGCCAGCCCTGCCCTGCATTCCAGCACTCTGGACTGGCTCAGGGGCTGCTGTGCTGCCTGACATGGCCCAGCACAGCTGCCAGACCTCTCTGGGCCACTGTACCAGGGAATAACTGCAGGACCCTGGGTGCATTTTTCACTATTGTGTCCATGGATGTCTCTTTTGGCAGAGAGGGCTGGAGTTGGGTGAAGGAGTGTGTTATCCTGAGCCAGAGTGGCTGCACTGCTGTGTGCTGTGGCCCTTTGCAGGCACACATGAGGTGTTCTCAGTGCCCTGCAGACAGCCAGGGCACTGCTCAGCTCCCACCCTGTGTGAAGGTGCATTAGCAGGGCTGCAGATCATGGGCCTTGCTCCAAAGCAGTGCTCCAGAACAGTTAGGCCTGGGTAATGCCTTTATTTCCCCTCTGATTCACTGCTGGCTTGTCTCTGGTCTTTGCAGTTCATAGCAATGTTTGTTCATTTCAGTCTGCAGAAATCAGATAATGCATCTCCAGGGAGGAGAAGCTGTTGCAGAGGTACCTAAAACCAGTCAGTACCTATTACATAGAACTGCACCTCATACCCTATGGAGTGGAGGTACTTGTAGTGTAAAACATGAATAAGCATATAAAGCATATTTGCAATAAGCTGTAAAAGCTTTTGGTAAGAAGAGGATTTTTAAACTGGCTATATGCACAGACTCCCTTAATAAACTGAACAGGATATTAAAACTCTAAGGCAACAGGAAGCTCTTAAAATTTCAGTCTGAAATCTCAAATCCTCACTGCTCTATATTGCTGGAGCTAATGCTGCCTCTGTCCAGCTGTCAGTGACAGCATTCCTTCTCCTTCCCTCTGCTCCAAGCAGAGTTTTCCTCTTGTTTGCAGTGCAGGTGAAGCTGCACGAGGACTGATTCTGACCCAGGGTCAGGAGGTGTTCCTTACAGGGAAGTTTATTGAAGGACATGTAATAAA